GGGAATGGCCACGCTGCAATCCCTTCTCCTCCATTCTCCTCTCGGGATCTTGGGCACGCATGCACATGTGCCTGGCGTGAGTTTAAGCCACAGGGTCCGGGACTCGAACCGTGGTCAACTACATGGGAGTCCGTAGACATAGCCATTCCGCTAACTGCTGATCCCGATACGTACACTCTTAATGGGGTCTTGTCACACCATCATGGCCTCGTCCCAGTCCTCCAGTGCCTCAAGATCTGCTATAGGATGGGAGAGAGTTGAGTCGCGTTGTGTAAAATTCTAGGTTTTTTAGGTCTAATGATCTCCTGCTGTTTTCTTAGGGCTCCCTGCTCACTTTTAACTAAATGCCTACCACAGTATCAGGCCCAGCCATGCAGTGCAGTCCACAGTGTACTGGACTACAATGCTAGAAGTGACATGTCAATCACAGATTTGGACCCCTGGGTTAGTATAAAAGCACGCCAGGGGCACGCATAGGTACCCAAGATTCTGAGGAGCTAGAAGGCTAGGGAAAAGTGAATCAGAATGTGACAAGACCCTGTCACGGATGCCTCTTCCTCTCCCTCCTCTCTCATGATCATACACGTGCTACCTTAAAAATAAAAAGATATGGGGACCAGCAGAAGGCGTAATGGTTATATTGCTAGACCCCCATGTAGTCCACCGCAGTTTGAGTCCCAGACCTGGCGACTTAAAACTCATACCAGGTGCATATGTACGCATGCCCAAAATCCCGAGAAGAGAATAGAGGAATGTGAATTGTGGCGTGGCTATTCCCCTGGGGTTGATTTCTTGTTTTCTGTATCTCTGTCTCTCTGGCAAGTGCACGTACTCTATAGCAAAAAAACTCTAAGTAGTAATAATAAATAAATAATAAAAAGATAAGGGGCCATCAAATGGCATAATTACATCACTGGACTCCCACATAACTAATGCAGTTTGAGTCCCAGATCTGGAGGCTTGAAACTCACGCTGGGCAAGTGTGCATGCATGCCCAAAATCCCGAGAGTAGAATGGAGGCGAAAGAATTGCAGCGTGGCCATCTCCCTGGGGGGTGATTTCTCACTGTCTCTCCAGCGAGTGCACA